CTGCAAGCGGGCACAGGGACTCCCCCCAGGACCACCCCGCTGCTTGGCATCTGACCGTGTCCCTTGGATGCACTCAGTGCTGGAATGAGTTAAAGGCAATCTGGGAGTGCATCCGAAAGCCCGGCATGGTCCCAGCTTTGCCACGTGCCCCACGGTCCCCTAGGGCCAGCCCTGCTTCCTTGGCATGGCCACAGCACTGCTCTGCCTGCGTTCCCACCTGCCTGCTGCTGCCTGGCACGTCCCTGCCCGGCTCAGCCTCGTGTGCTTCCCCCAGGCCCTACGCCAGCACCCCCCGGCTGGCTCCTGCAGGTCCCCATCGGTGCTCCTGGGGCGGACGCTGCCAGCTTGTGTGTGCCCTGCCATCCTCTCTGCCTCAGCCCTGCTGCCAGGGACAGATCCTCTCTGCCGCAGCCCTGCTGCCAGGGACAGTCAGGGGACCCGCAGCACATCCCAAGGGCTCCCTCTTCCTTCTCCTGCTCCAACCCTGCCTGCCTTTGCTGGCTTTCCTTCCCTTGGCCTTTCTCTTGTTCTGCTTTCATTCTGCTGCCTGTTTTCTCTCCTTTCCCTTCCCTACGTCCCGCTGCCTGGGTGCCCAGACGTGTTCAGCCGAGGCAGTTTGCAGCCCAAGCCTCCTCTCCCTTTGCCAGGCCGTTTGTCTCACTCTCCCCCCTGCTTAACAGCAGTTCTGACACCATGGGATTATTTTTCTTTTTCCCCTTGTCTTGTAGCTTTTGGCTCCCAAGGCCTTTGATTTCCTTTGGAGTTTGGGAGGAGAGACGTGAGGAGGAGGAGGAGGAGGAGGAGGGGTGGAGAGGCTGCCTTTCCTAGGGCCTTCGTCAGAGCAAAGTCGTCAGGAAGAGCAGCCGGAGAGCAGCGAGGCGCTGGGGCAAGAGCCGCAGGATCGCAGTGAGTGGGGCTATGCAGCTCTGTCTGCCCCATGCCGGGGGGAGCTGGGACTCGTAGGGGTTCTGGCTTCTGCGCCTGGGAGGAGGAGGAGAGACACTTTTCTCTTCCTTTTCCTCTTTGTGGCAGCCGTAGCGTCCAGGAGGGGGAAGAGAGCAGCTTTCCAGGGCAAGGCCAACATCAGCCGTGGGGCTCTGTTCTCACTGTGCTGGTGTGGGAAGGGCTGGGGGCAACCTGGGCAGCGGGGTGGTCCCCAGCACTGGGGTGGTTCAACACAGCTGGGGATGCTGCAGCCCCAGCCAGCCGTGCTCCAGGGAGCCGGCAGGGCGTGGAGCAGAGCCACCAGCAGCAGAGATGCTTCCAAGGGCTGGGCCAAGATGCAGCCCCACGGTCCCAGAGCTGCCATCCTGCCATGCACCGCCCGGATGCAA